TTCTGGAGGCTAGAAGTCTGAAATCAAGGTATCCATAGGGCCATGAAAACTGAAGAAAAGAGTATTTCCTTGCCTCTTCCTAGCATCTGGTGGTGACTGTCAATACTTGACATTCTCTGGCTTTCAGCTAAATCATTCCATTTCCCTATCTCTGCCACCACGAGGCATCCTCCCTGTGTATCTATAATAATGTACTAAAATAAAATTTGGTAACAAAATTGCCCTCTTCCACCAATATAGCATCACTCATATTGGATTAAAGACCTGCCCTCCCTGAGTATCACCTCATCTTAACTAATTACATCTGTAACTATCCTATTTCCAAATGAGGCCACATTCTGGGATACTTGGGGGTTAAGAATTCAGCATATCTTTTTGAAAAGAAATAATTCCACCTGTAACAGGTGGTGAGAAATTTATCACTGACTTTCTGAAGGGATCAATAATACCACTTCAGTCTCAACTCACTGAGGCATTCACATCAGCTTCAACTCACTTAGTTGTTATGGATGAGAGAACTACACTAGACTTCTTCTCTATGGACCAAGACAGATCCTGTTATACCTGTTCAAATGCCTCAGGCCAAGCAGAAAAAAACTGAGAGAGAAGAAAACATGTAATGTTCTGCTACAGTAAATATCTAATTGAAGTCATAATTTAAAAATATATGCATGTATATACACACACACACGCACACACGCACACACGCACACACACACACACACACACACACACAGTGTTCACACAACCACATCTCTTAGCTCTGTCTACTAAAAAGGCCTCAAAGTAATAACACTACCTCAGCAGTAAAGAGTAAACCTAGCTAAGCCTTTGCTTTCTAAATATCATTTCCTACTAAGAGGAACCAGGGCTCCTTGAAAAAAGTGCCGATTACAGTTCCATGACAAGAGAATATACAAAGTAAGGTCAGACTATCTTGTGTCACAGAGTAGACTAAAGGAGATATGCCATGACGTAGGAATTGGTTCTCAATGTCAAATTTAGGACAATCTAAACATGAAGAAGAATAACAAATGAAAAGAGTCTTTTAGTAATGGATTAGGACATGAAAAGAATCTTTGAGTTGAAATGCTCAAAACAAAGGTAAATGAGGTTGGAAAAGTTTGCCTTTACAGAAGAAAGTCAACTAACTAACGTAGAAGAATTGACATAATTTTAAAATCTCCATTTCACAATCACTTATGTAATATCAAGTTCAGGCATGGATTATCAATGAATGCTGCAAGTGCTGGGTAAAAAAAATACTGAGGTACAGGATATTCACATGATTGCCCTGTATCCTTCCTCCCAAGCCTTATCTCCCCAAATACTTACTACAATAGAAAAAAAAAATCCTTGTACAATGGAGAGATCTAACAACCATCACCCTAATCAAGTGATCAATCTCAGCACTGGTGCATGAACAAGCTATTATTATGGGCCTCAAGATAATATACAATAAGAAGTATTCCAACTAACTGCTACAGTGCTCTTCCCCTGAATATAATCATGAAGAAACAATCAGACAAATCCAGAGCATGGGACACTATAAAAGACAAGTAGCTTGGATTCCTGAGGGAAAAAAAAGAAAGTCAATGTCATTAAAAGAAAGACTTTTTTTTTAAAGTGTAGAAATGTTGCAGATTAAAAAAAAGAGGTGTAACAATCAAACGTAACAGATGAACCTTAACTGGATCTCATATGGCAGAGGGCTAGGGGAGGGAAATAAAAGACATTTTGGAGACAAATGTAAAATTTAAATATGAACTGTATAATAAGATTAGATAATTGAACTAATATTAATTACTTTAAAGTTAAAATGGTGTTCTAATTATATAAGAATAGTCTTGGCTGGGCACGGTGGCTCACGCCTGTTATCCCAGCCCTATGGGAGGCCAAGGTGAGGGGATCATGAGGTCAAGGGTTCAAGACTAGCCTGGCCAACATAGTGAAACCTCATCTCTCCTAAACATACAAAAAAAAAAAAATTACCAGGTGTGGTCGTGGGCGCCTGTAGTCCCAGCTACTTGGGGGGCTGAGGCAGGAGAATCGCTTGAACCTAGGAGGCAGAGGTTGCAGTGAGTCATGGCCCTGCCACCGCACTCCAGGCTGGGCGACACAGCCAGACTGTCTTAAAAAGAAAAAATAAATAGGCTTAAACTTAAGAGATGCATTCCTGAAGTATTTAGGGATGATATTCCATGATGTATGTAACTCATAGGTACTTTTTTGCTAACATTTGACTAATTTTTTACCTCAAAATGCAAAGTAGCAAAATGTTAATAATTAGTAAATCTTGGTAAAGGGTAGCACAGGTGTCCACTGTATTAGTTTCATTTTTCTGTAAGTCTGAAATTAAAAAGACGAAGAGACTACAGCTGGACTTTAAATGGAAAAAATATAGAATATAGAAAAGAATTCAAGGAATGCTACAGTGTCATACATATAATATCAATGTTTGTTGAAAACAGTAAAAATGTTGGGATTATCCTGTCTGAGGAGGAGATACCTGGGAAGAAAGTTAACACAGTGAAGTTATATCATATGCCTTGTTCAACATAAAACATTTAAAAAAATTAAACTACATAGCTCAGCAATAACTTGAGGGCATCATTTATACCAAACAGGTATAATTCACTCAAGCCAGAAATGTTTCTCGCATTAGTCAAACCAGAAAAAGAATGTGTAAACAGCATGACAACTTCCCAGTCTTGACAAAGAGGTAAAATACCTTGTTCAGGTAGGCAAGCAAATGAAGGAAACTTAAAAATTAAGGGCCATGAAGAAAAATTACCAAAGGTATAGAAGAAATGATAAGGGTTGTAGTACCAAACCCAAATCAAGCAATATACTTACATTGCTTTACGTGATGTACAAGGGCAATTTTATCGAACCCAAGTTTCACCTTATCTGTTAATTTTAGACTCTAATCCCATGAGAGGTGTGACCTCTCTCAAACGAAACAAAAGGGTGATAGGCTCTTTTCCACATGATTTTAGCCTGCTATAATCATGCATTGCGAGATGCACCCCTGAATAAAACCTTCTCATGATCATATGAGTTTAGAATATGCTGGCAGATGGATCACTGTCCTAAGATGCTAATAATCTTAGCTGGGAATACAAAAGCAAGACACAATTACAGTTCACAGAATAAAGACAATAATGAATATGTGCACTTAAGAAAAGCATTAAATTTTAATAGCTCTGGAGTCACAAATCGCAACCGTGAACAGGTACTAGCTGTGTTACTTTGGATAAATTATAATCTCTCAGCTTTAAAACTCACATCTATGAAATGAACTTTTTTCATATCTAACTTTCAAAATAATGAGAATCACGATTTTATATAGACACACATATATATACATACATATATATATATTGTATATACAAGAGACTTCACATACCATCCTCAATAGTTTACACATAATAAACAATAATTTTATTTTGTTGGGGGAGAATGGATGTTAGTTAATATCTAATATGTCAATGAAATAAGTTATTCATCACTCTTTTCAAATAATTTGTAATTTACCCATTTTTCATTTAACTGGAGTCCAACAATACATTAATCTCCAACGCATCACCAAAACTTTGGTTATACATGCAACTCACTTGATTCTACATACAGTTTTTTATTTCTCTTAAACTGAATATTCTTCTTAGATCTACTGATCCATAATAATATCCCTCGATGAGGGTATTTTGTTCTTAGAATTTATAATAAACCCTGGAAGAGATAAGTAATTTTGTAGGAGAATACATCTAAAAGAGTTAGCAATTATGAAGAATATTCTCTACAGTATAATTTGATTTTTTAAAAAGTTTGGAGTTAACACTTAAGGGAGGTGAGAATTATATCGAGTAGTCTTAATTAACAACTTTATTTGGCCAAGGAGTGTGATGTTAGCACTGAGGGAGGTGAGAATTGAATTCAGAAATTTGTGAATAAACTGACTGTGTGAAAGAAGAGCAGAATTATCTGCTAAAAGGGCTTACAAGGAAGCCAAAAGCTCATTCACCAGTCCTTAAGCAAGGAATATCAACTGAAGAATCTAAGTGCAAGTTAACTCAAGAAGAAAATTTTGCTTTTTCTTAAAGAAAAGAAAAAAGCAGGAAAGTCTCAAAAAGGAAAGTCCTATGATTTTTAAATTTTAACTATGAACTTTTCAAAGATTCCATACAATGATAAACATTCGGCAGTGGTATAAAAGTGGTCCACAAGTACACTGACACAGAAGGACCCGGGAGTAAAGTACTAATTCAGGTGAAAATAAAACCAAGATGGCCAGAAATGACAAGGTGGCTTTCTTGTGCATCTGCAACTCACTCTGAGGCTTCAATTATTATTCAGAAATATAATTTAAATAATTTTTCTTGAAAAATATTTCTGGAAACGCATCTTTACATCTTGGTTACCACTGGAGGAAACTGGATAAAAGATGTGTACCTACAATTAACCTCAAAATAAAAATTTTGATTTAAAAAAGTATTTGCTGTATGCTTTTGGCCATGTATGTATATTTGTCCAAAGCTTTCTTTAATTTGTTCCTCCTGACAAATACTTCATTCATTTAAAACTGTTTACTTCCATAGCATAGAAAAAAATTCCTACTCACTGGCAGTATCAAAAATTAAACTGGCTACCCTAGGTAAAAGTGAGTACTCACTATTAAAAATTTAAAACAGAATATATTTAAGGGGGCTACTTCATTAAGAGTAACCTACAAGGCAATCTGCAGAATATAAAGATGAAAAAACCGTTTTATGATTATATGTGCAACTGGTCAATAAATATTTTACCTGCCCACATTAAAAGAATATCAGCCTATCCATATCATTTTCTAAAATACACTGATTTTTTAGCTTATTTTTAAATGCACAGTTATATTTGACTATTAAACAACTGTTTAATTATCATATATATATCTTAAACATAAAAAATATATATGTAAGCCATGGATAATTGTTTTTAGCATTTCTTAAAACATAAATTACCTGCACACAGAACACTGCCGCTGAGGCTGAAGAGCAGTGAACATAACAATCATGGAATAGTTCCGAGGTGGGGCCTTTATAAATTTTCGGAATTTATCACCATTCATTCGGAAGATTGAGCGTCTGGAACTCCATTCCATCAGCTGCTCTACTTTTTCAGCTAGAAGATTCTGTAAGTAAACCACAGAAATTTACATTTACTAAGAGTCAAAGTCCTTTTGTTTGAATTTCATATAAACAAAATTGCATGAGATTATATTTTACCCCAAATTAACTTCTGTTAAAAGACCTTGCTTTGGTGAATATATTCACTGTTAACTGATCATAAATGTATAAAAAATTTTTTTTCTAATGATATGCAAGTTTATAAAAAAGTTAAAAGTGAAACCATATTTCTGCCCCAAGAAAGGTAGAAAAGACATATATTTTCCTAATATTCAGGTTTTTTTGGCCTTATATATCCCAGACCAGTTGCTAGAGAAGTCCGCAATCCAAGAACACCAACGGCGGCAGACAGAAGGGAAAAAGAAAAGGCTCAAGTAAGCTCTTGCTATCCCCAAAGGACAAAGAAAGGGGAAGCCCAGTAAAACAAAATAATAACTGCTCTACTCTAGCCAAGCATCACAGCAAAAGGAAAACAAAACAATAAAAACTACAGGCTCACAACCACCCCCACAAATACAACACTGAAACTATACACAGGAGTGTTATGTGATTCTACTTATATTAAAGTCAAAAATAGGAAAAGTTGATTACTGTGGTAAAAGTCAGTATGGTGGCTATTCTGGGAAGCACAGAGACTGGGAGACACCACAGGTGGAGCTGGGCTACTAGTAATATTCTGTTCCTAGAGAGTTTTGGGAGGAGAGAGCATTGTAGTTTCTTTATAGAAGGCTCTAACAGCTGGGCATGGTGGCTCACACCTGTGTAACCCCTAGCACTTTGGGAAGCCAAGGTGAGAGGATCACTTGAGCCCAAGGAATTCAAAATCAGCTTGGGCAACATAGTAAGACCCTGTCTCTACAAAAAGATAAAACAAGGCTCTTATCTTGAAGATCATTCATTTTACTTAAACTCAAGTCTGAGAAGTTAACAACTCTACAACACTGTATTCCTACAAAAAAAAAAAGAAAGAAATTCCCTGCCATTGAAAACCAAGCAAATATCAGTGGTTAGGAGAGACAGGCTTGAATTGTGCCATTTAACCAAGCTCTACTACTCTAGAAATCAGAGAAAAAAGTAAACTCTTTTGCCTCTCAAGTGAAAAAGTAAAAGTGACTCAGAGAGACTGGGCACAAACACATGAAGAAGAGAGAAGAGAAGCCACCTTAACTCTTACCCTGAGTTAAGGTAAAAGACTTGCTGCAGTGCTTTGCACCCACCTGAACAAGGAAAAAAAGATAAATGGAAAGAAATGGAAGGAAGGAAGGGAAGGAAAGTATCTGGAAAAAGAGCATAGTAATCAGTAGAGAGAGAACAGATATGCATGCATGCTAACTGTATGAAAAAGAAAAATTATAGCTAATGACTTGGCTGTGTTTGTTTTCTTGAAAGACAAAATTTTGGCACAACCAAAGGGCATAAGCTGGGCTACTAGTAATCTTAACTTACTAGTAATCTGATCTTAAACTCAAAACAAACAAATTACTTGCATTTAGTTATACGTATATATATATATTTGCAGTCTGAGTTTTATATATATATAAAACTTTGGAAATGTACTTTATATATATGTATATTTTTATTAAAAATATATATATTTTTTTACATATATTTTATGTATATTATATATACATACATTTCCAAAGTAAAATAAGCTTATTAAACTGAAAATGAAAACTTATTTCTCTGCCTCATCAATATACCCAAAACAGTTGAAAATGACATAGAAGGACTTTTACTAATTTTTCTTACTTTTAATTCTGAGAAGCAAAGTGAGGTTATTTTGCATTTAGTCATATACATATACACACACACACACACACACACACACACACACATACATATATGTTGCATTTAGTTATATATATATACACACATATATATACATACACGTGTGTATGTGTATGTATATGTATATACATATATATGTGTATATACACATGTATATATGTATAGTATATATAACTAAATGTACGTAAACATGTATATATATATATTTGCAGTCAGTTTTATATATATATAACTTGGAAATGTACTTTATATGTATTATATATTTTTACATATATTTTATGTATGTATATTATATATATACACATACATAATACAAAGTAAAATAATAATCTTATTAAACTTAAAATGAAAACTTATTTCTCTGCCTAATCAATATACCCAAAGATGAAAATGACACAGAAGAACTTTTACTTTTAACTTCAAAATGCAAAGTGAGGTTATTTTCCATGTTAGGCGTAATAGTACTTGCCTTACAGAAAACTGTTATACATTTAGTAAAATTTAAACTCTTCAGTATTTGCCAATACACGCAATGAACCAATTTACTATGTAAATTCTTTTGAGCCTTGAAAACATTTTAAAATAGTAAGATAAAAACTATATAAATAAAATACTAATATATTAAATATTTAGGGACTGTGACCCTCTATGAAAAGAATGGAAATCAAGCAGGGTAATCCACTAAAGAGAGCAGAAGGGAACTGCTCTAAGAAAGTTACTTACCTATGAGTTACCTCAGTATTTTGGCATACTTTTCTTATTAAATACATGGACAACACACTCTCACACAGACACACACCACACGCACTTTTATTACTCTTTGAATTTCTACAATAATCTTACTGTTCTTCATATTTAAAAATCCCATTCATACCAAAAATGTATCTATGAAAATAGTAAATAACTGTAAAGGGCCAAAGATTTCACTTTACTTTTAAGTTATCAAATAAGCTAGCCATAGTTTCATGGCTGCTGAAAGAAATAAGACTCCTGAGTCTGGTACTCCTATTTCCCATGCTTACCACCTTCAAGGTATAACGAAACTCATTTACAACCCTGATCACGAATGAAAATTTCTTAGAGAGGAATATTTCTTATTTAAGTAACAAGGGACTAGGTTAAATTACACGTGTCTTTAAAAAACAAAACACAAAAATGAATACTCATTACTTGGCTTAACTGAAATCCTTTTTGTAGTACACTTCTAGTTACCATACAGTTACTATATTCCTTCAAAATTAGGCAAATATAAATATTTCATTTTTCTAAATATTGAAAACCACTGTGCTACAGATTTCAGGGTACACAGTCATGTTTAATATTAAAAAATCAAAGCAAAATATAACTTTTATACAATCATGTCTTGAAAAATGTAGAATTCCAACTATATGTAATTTTCCCATTACAAATATTCTGGAAAAAAATTTTAAAGAAAATGCCCATTAGTCCCATAATTTTGCATCAGTCCGACAAACTGGTGTTTTTCGTTTCTGTGACTACACTTTCCTTAAATGCCAATGCTATCTGCAGTTCATTAATATATTAGAGTGTGAGATTCAGTATACCCTTACCAGACTAGGGTATTCATTCTTACTCATTTTCTGTATCTCTTTATGGTATAGACATAGGCACTCACACCTCCAAATCAGTAGGTGAAAATGGTATTTTATTTTAATTTGCAGTTTGTTTGTTTGTTTTCTGAAACAGCCTCCCTCTGTCACCCAGGCTGGAATACAAGGGCTTAATCTCAGCAAACCACAACCTCTACCTCGAGGGTTCAAACGATTCTCATGCCTCAGCCTTGCACTGTTATTTCTGGCAAAATTGAGCCATTTTTCACAATTCCAAATGCTAGAATTCTCTTTCTTACTAATTATATCTCATGTCTTTTATCCTAGATCTACTCATAAATAAAATCTGTCCTACATAAGAGATAAAAATATGTGGCATAAAACTCTTTCCAGACTAATCAATACTAAAACAATAGTAGGATAAAATTTTGTCACTTCTAAATTGTTTTTCTTTTTGCTTATGGGGTGAACAAGGAAGAGCAGAGAGCAACTAGAACTGAGAAAAGTAGCATTTTAAAAGCATATACTGTATTTGATTACATTTTGTGAATTATTTATCTTTAAAAAGTCTCTATTATATGAAAAATATCAATTATTTAAAAGCAGGAAAAACAAATCCATGTTCTATAATAACAATAAATACCAAATCATAGTGAAAGGAAGAACTGAAATCTCTCTTCTCTTCTCTTAGAATCCTAACTGCCTGATTATTCAAACACATCTCTCCCTTTAACCAACCTAGAATATCAGTAAAATACACAAAAACTTTTTTCTTTGATTTGTAAGTATGAAACAACTTTTCATAATTTCTTCCAAACGAACAAACAATCACAGCCTTAACAAAACAGAGACAAGACCAGTCTAAGTAGGGTGTATGTGTGCGTTGATGGGGAGAAGGTATATGTTGAAAAGTACAAGTAGGTCATGACCTATAAGCAGGGTGTGTTCTAAAAAAAAGTAATAATAATAACAATAATAATTTCTTCCAAAACACAGCATATAAGGTAATGGAAGTGTTCTGACTCAGGACTAGTGGTAGAGCCATGAGTGTGCATTTGTCAAAACCCACAGAAATACAGTCATGTGGAACACAGTGACATGAATCAGTCAACAACAGACTCCATATACAAAGATGGTCCCATAAGATTATAATGGGGCTGAAAAATTCTTATCTCCTAATGATGATGGGTAGCCATGGTAACACTGCTGCACAATGCATTACTCCTGTGTTTGTGGTGATGCCGGCATAAACAAATCTACTGGCTGCCAAACATGTAAGAATACAGCATATGCAATTATGTACAGTATACAATACTTGATAATAAACAACTTTGCTACTGGCTTTATGAATTTACTATACTATACTTTTTATCTTTAGACTGTACTCCTTCTGCTAATTTTTTTTAAGTTAACTGTAAAACAGCCTCAGGCAGGTCCTGTATGAGGTATCCAGAAGAGGATGTTATCCTAGGAGATGACAGTTTCACGTCTGTTACCGCACCTGAAGACCTCCCAGTGGGACAAGATATGGAAGTGGAAGAGAGTGATGCAGATAATCTTGACCCTGTGTCGTGAGGATTAGCCAAGGCTAATGTGTGTGTGTCTTAGTTTTTAACAATAAACTGTAAGAAGTTTTTAAAACTTAG